GTCTCTGCCCATGGCAGTGGGGTTGGAATGAGATGAGCTTTAAGATCCCTTCCAACCCAACCCCTTCTGTGATTCTGTGGTTCTGCAAAAGTCACAGTGTGTGCAGGGTGAAAGGCTTACCTGGCTTTGGAACATCCCTTCACACCTTGGAGGGCAGGGGTGGACTCTGCCCCGTGCTCTGCACCTGTCGTGGAGGGAGCAGGGAAAGCAGTGAGCAAGGAACAGATGCTGGAGCTCCTCTGGGGCCAACAGAAAGCACACACAGATGGATTGGTAAACACGGCGCAGAAGCTTTTGTGTCTTGCTGCCTCCCGAGGACAGGAAGGCAGAGCTGGGAGAGGGGCTGCCATGCTGCCAGGCCAGGTGGCCCAGTTCACAGGGCTTCAGTCACATCACTCACCCAGATCTTGGGGACCACCCAGGCCAGGGTGGGCACTGGGGGCACTTCCAGCCTGGCCTGGCTCAGTTGTGGCAGCACCTGGTTTGGTTTCAGGCACTCTCAGGACCTGCTGCCTGCACTGGCTCCCCCAGATCCACCAGCATTTGACAACTGCACACAGACAGACCCTTTGGGTCTTACCCAGAGCCGGTCAGGAACCGGCACACACTTCAGGCAGCAGCAGCAAAATGCTGCCTGACAGGAGAAGGGCTGGACAAACCACTGCTGTGAGTGCCCTGTCACAGAGTTTTGTGGCAAGTGACCAGTTTATTCCCATCAGACAGCTGGGAATGTGGGGAGGAGCAAGACTGGGAGGGACATACGTGTTTAATATAGGTTGTGAAATGGGAACAGGGTGCTGGGGGCACTGCCAGGCAGTAACCAACTGCCAGGAGCCGTGGGCACTGCTCCCTTCCAGGCCAGACTGGCACACCCACGTCTGCCCGGCCCTGGAGAGCCATTTCTTCTCCACAAAACACCTCAGCAATGCTGTCACCACTGAGCTGGCTCATCCCATAATAACTCAAATGCATCTGAGATAGAAATCAGGCAGTGACGGCACACAGACTATTCTACAGCCATTTCCCAGGTTCCAGTAAAACATAAAAAAGAAAATAAACCAGCACTGGCATTTCAAGGCAATTATTTGAAGGGTCAGGAGATACAGACCAACACTGAGGAGCTGGACAACATCAAGTCTCTTTAATGCATGAGGATAACATGATAAGGCTGTCAGTTACCCTGCAGAGAGGGAAGCTGGGATCAAGCTGTTATAATCGAGTTTTGGGCTTCTCTGACCTCATCTGCCTCTCAGCTGTCATAACCCACAGCACACAGTAACACACTCAGGTGTGACCATGCCCTGGGGACTGTAGGAAGCATGAAGAGGTCTCTGCAGAGCCCTAAACATCAGACCCCCCATGCAGCAGCAGCCAGGATACAGGACTGGATGCAGCTGGGTGTGCTCTGTGCTCTCCATCCCTTGGTTCCTTATTTAAAATTTCCAAGGCACTGCCCAAAGTGATTAGAATTGAAAAAATTGGCAGTAGAGATTTTTTTTCCCCTCTACAAACTCAGGTAAAATAGAGAGCCCCACGGTGAAGGTGGGAAGGGAAGGGTCTCCTGTCCTGCTCCCATTGCAGAAAAGCAGCTCCATCAGTCACATCCTCAGGGCCCTGCTGCTGGGGACACTGTACTGAGCTCCAGCTTCTTTTCTGGGCAAATTGGGCCAAAAGTAATGTGGGGGCCAGGCAGGAGATGCTGATTTATGCTAACGAAGGGGCTGGGCTGATCTCCTCAGCTATTGAACTTAACAGGAGCACTGCCAGTGGCTTCAACAGGGCACGATTTCATCTGAGCCCGTGTCCCTTACCCTGGAGCAGGTGTCTCCTCCCTGTGTGCTTGGAGCAGGGGCAGAGCCACTTGCTCTCCAGAGCTTTCACCTCCTATTTTAAGGTCTCTCCCTGTAATGCCAAGCTTGTAAACTGCCTGTTGGGTGCCAGTGCAGCCCCCAGACTGCTCAGGGACGCGGCAGAACCAAGCGCTGACAAAAGCTCTGTGTAGCCATAAGGCTGTGTGTCCCCCAATAACAACATTTTCCATCAGGCCCCAGTCATTCCCAGTGCCTTGAATCCCTCCAGGAGAGAGGATCAAGCAGTGGCTGCACTGAAGCTCCTGCATTCCCCCACTGAGCACAGCCAGAGCTGGTATTGCACAAGATGAAGTCCAGCGACTCCGTGCCAAGTGATGATGTTACTGACCATGGAAGGCAACCAAACCAGAGGAAAAACATTTTTGTAGAGAAACATCATCGCTGAAACCCTATAAACAAATCTGTTTTGACACAGCAGAACAAAGAACTATAAAAGGAGAGATTGGGAAAACCACCACTAATGGCCTTTAATTCACGTGGTGCCCGGTAGACTGTATTTTTCTAAGTCATATCCCCTGGGGACACTGGCCTATGATTTCCAAAGCACAGAGGAACATGGGAACAGCCCAGCCAGATGTGGGGCCATGCTCAGAGCCCCTCGTCTCGGAAGATGCTCCAGAGCAGGATGTATTGAGCAAGAAAAGGGGCTTTACAAGAGCCACAGGCGACGGCTGGGGCTGTCCCAGGAGGCTCCTCAGAGCTGGGCTGACACCCACCACGTCTGTGCTCCCCCTGGGTATGAACAGTGCTCCAGGAGCGGAAGCAAAGCCGTGTCCAAGGCTCCATCTGCACAGTGATGTCTTTGGGAACAGCACAACAGCCGTGGCCAGGCTGCTTCATGCAAACTAATCACTTCTAATCTGCTTAGAAAACTTCAGCCCTTGGGGAAGCACAGCAGACCTTCCCCTGGGCCTGGGAGGAGGCACCACTGGATGGCAGGTTTGGAAGGAATAAATTAAATTTGTATTAAGGGCTGAAAGTGTTTCTCTGCTGTGAGAGAGTATTTCAGAGGAGAATAACCCCTGTGGAGGTGAATCCACAGCAGAGGAGCAGGTCCCCAACACACTGAAATGGAGTTACCATCACTGTGCCCAGGAACACGGCTCCAGCAAGATCAGCTCTTACTGGGTTCCAGTTTTTGGGTTATTCTTTCTCAAAGAATTGATTTCTCCAGCAATAAATGAGCTGCTCCATGGGGACATTAGGACTTACCAACAGAAACCTCGAGATCCCGGAGAACCTGTGGACAAATGTTATCTGGGTCTGTGACTTAAAACCCTTTGAATTCCCAGTTTAACCAGACCAACATAAAATGGGGAAGGCACATGGGGCCCCCACTCTTACTAAAGATCAGCTGTTTCTGTTCATGGAAAAATCTATTGCTGTGACCATTGCACTTGCAGGGTGGTCTTGGTAACATGTCCAGCCTCTGCATGCAGGGAGCAAGAATCCCCCATTCCTCCCTGGAATTCAGCAGGTTTGCCCAGGCCCTTTTCACGTATTACAAAGTGCAAACAGTCCCCTGGGCTCTGCACACCCTGTTCTTCACGGGCGGCTCCTGCATCCATGGGAGGTTTCTGGGCTGCTGCTCTGGAAAGGGATTTGAGGTCAGGCTGACTCAGTGCTTCCCAAAAGGCAGCGACTGGCTTTGTTACAGTTCAGGCCCGGAGCAGCCGCCCTGCACCGCTCCAAATCCACGAGAGAGACAACACAAGGGTTTCACTCACCCCTCCCCACCAGCAGGCAGGTGGCAGCCGAGTCCCAGGTGCTTTCTGCACACCTAGAGCCACACTGGACCTGCTATCCCGAACTTCAAACACAAACTCTCTGCCTGCCCAAAACCTTTCCCATGGAAAGCAGCCAGTGCTGGGAACCCGGGGGGTGCTCCCAGGAGGTGAAGGACCCAAGACACCCCTTTTCTCCCAGCCACAAGCAGTAACCCAGGGGGTGAAGGGCAGGAAGGGCCATTCCATCACACATACCCACAGGAACGGTGACAGCCAGGGACTCACCCTTTCCTCTCCAGCCCGTTCAGAAGAGCCATCTCCAAGTGGAACACTACTAAAACATTTATTAGAAGAGTGCAGGGTGGCCAGGCAATCCAGGACCCTTCTGCAGCTGAACATGTGGCTGGGGAGAGGAGCAGCCAGCCCTGCTCACCATGGGGATCTCCCACGGTGCCTCGTGTGCCCCCAGCATCCACAAGGAGATGCAGGCACCGGTTTCCTTGAGGGAAAGGTGTCCCTGCTCCAGCGTGGCCAGGGAGGTGAGGCTGGCTGGGCCATCCCTGCGTGCTGGGAGCCGGAGGCAGCAATCCAGCACAGCCACTGAGCTCGCAGCAGGGGAATCCAGGGCTGGCTCACGCTGGGTGCTGCCCGGGAGGATGGCTGCTCTGCATCACACTCCAGCTTGGCCTCTGGCTGCTGCTGCTGGCTTTGGTCACACCTCCTGCAGCCACCCCCGGAGCTCAGACCTGCCCCACTCTGCTGCCAAGTCCTCCCCAGAGCAGGGTGGGGACCGAGGCCGGCTGCAGTCCTGAGGGGAGCTCTGGCTCAGACCAGATCCACGGCAAGGAAAAATAAACAAACAGGTATTTCTCTCACAGGGAGGAACATTAGGCACTTCCTAAACCTATCCACAAACACGAGAGCACCGGCCGCTCCTCCCGGAGGGTGGAATAACTGCACCTCGGGGCTCCCCTTCGTGGGAAAGCCGTAGGTGTGGGCAGTGTGGGCACAGCTGCCCCATCCCGCACCCCAAGGTGGCACAGCTGTGATCTGGCACGAGGAGTGTTCCCTCAGCGTGGGCACCCCACTGGCACTGCAGGCACCTCGCCCGCTGAGGGTGCCACAGTCCTGCCAGGAAGCACTCGTGACACCCCGTCCAGACAGGTCTATTTACAGGAGAACCACAGACATGGGGTGAGGAGGTGCCCCCAGCCAGCACGGCCAGCTGCCAGCATGGGCTGTGTCCCCCTGGGGCTGGCTGGGAGGGGATGCTCCAGCAGTGAGGGGGATCCTGCATCCCCCTGGGGCTGGCTGGGAGGGGATGCTCCAGCAGTGAGGGGGATCCTGCATCCCCCTGGGGCTGGCTGGGTGCTGTGCCCAGCTGCCACCAGGTCACCCCCTGGCACAAGGAGAGGGCAGAGTCACTTCACAGGCGCCGTGTTTTCAGAGTTCGGGGGCAGCGACAGGTCCCTGGCTGCACGGACAGTCCAGAGAGGTGTGGGATGGGCTGGTAGCATCATGCCCTGGCAGCAGCCCCGGGCAGTGGCCTGTGCCAGCTGGAGAGGTACAGCCCAGGCAAGTGTCCATCCCGGTTTTAGTCGTTCTCGCTCTGCAAGGGAGAGAGGGGAGAGCAAGGGTGAGGTGCCAAGGGCTGGGCTGGGGGGGTACAGCCCCTCTCTGTGCACCAGGGCCCTCCTGCCCAAGCACAGCCCTGCCACCTCACCTCCATTTTGCTGTATATCCAGCTGAGGAGCTTTGTCACCCGGGTGTAAACTCCAGGCTTGTTCTTCTGGCCACATCCTGTTCCCCAGCTCGTCACCCCGGCCACATACCAGCGGCCATTGTCCTCGCAGACCAGGGGCCCTCCGCTGTCACCCTGGCTCAGAGGGGCAGAGCAGTGAGGAGGGGAGACAGCAGGTGCCCCTCTGTGGGTACCCAAAAGCGGGCAGCCCTCTCCTGGTGTGCCACGTGCCCCCAGCTCACCTGACAGGCGTCTTTGCCTCCCTGCAGGTACCCAGCACACATCATCCTGGGGGTCAGGTAGCCCTCGTACACCTTGTCGCTGTTGCAGATCTTGTAGTCGATGAGCTTCACCTCGGCCTCCCGCAGCTTCGGGGACGTGTTATCTGCAAGGCAGGAAGAGCTGTGGGGCAGGGGGGGGGCCTCGGCCCCCCACGGCCCCCGGGCCTCTCTGCAGCAGCGAGGGAGGAAGCTCGTGTTTCTCACGGGTCTTATTTCTGCAAAGCCTCATGGCTGGGGAGGGCAACCCCTGAGAGTTATCCCTGTGGAACAGTCCTGGAGTACCACAGCAGAGCTGTGCCCGTGGGCAGGAGGTGTCTGTGGGGAGCTGGCGTCCTCCCTCACCTTCATTCTCCCTGGTCTTCCCAAAGCCCGTGATGAAGCAGGACCTGCCGGTCTGGAATCGCTGGCCGTACGTGGGGAGGCAGGCTGGGCGAACATGGGCTGGAGGGAGACATGATGAAAGCCAGGCGAGGAGGGAAGGATGAGTCACCCAGGAGCAAAATAGCCACCGTAGTCACAAGCTCTGCAGCCAGGGAGGAGCATGGGGGGCAGGAAAGGTCCCTTCTCTGCCCACCCCAGAAGGGTCTCACTGGCCCCACGTGGGGCACAATGCTGGTGGCACACCTGAGCTCGTGGTTGCGTGTGCCAGCCCCTTCCTGGCCATGGGACAGGCCAGGGAAAGCAGGGTGGCCACAGCAGAGTTGGATGCTCCAGCTGGCAGCAGCCCCACATACCCCAGGGTGTGGTTCCAAGGGGGCCCGAGCTGCCCCTCACTCCCGCCCATCCTCAGTCTCTCCCTGTGCCCCCAAACGCCACCCCCAGCCAGGTCCAGGTAAGCTGTGAGGCCTCACCTGAGAGCGTCAGTGGCCTGGAGAGCTTCATGAGGGCGATGTCGTAGTCGTCGTGGTCGTCGCTGTAGTTGGAGTTGATGATGACCTGGGACACGGGGATGCCCTCCATGGGCTGCTTCAGGTCCGACACCCCCCCGTACACCTTCCAGTCGTCCAGGATCTTCATGCTGTTCCTGGCAGGGCGAGATGGGGCAGGAAGGGGTGAGGCAGGGGGGTGTGGGGCTGGGCTGAGCGGGGCTGGCAGCAGCACTCACATGAAGAAGCAGTGGGCTGCCGTGAGCACCCACTGCACGTCGATGATGGTGCCGCCGCAGATGTGGATGGGCCCGTACTGCACGCTGACCTGCCACGGCCACTTGTTCACAGAGGTCTCCTTTCCCCCGATGATCCGGCCAGAAATCCTCTGCCCACAGGCTGGAGAGGGGAGAGCAGGGCTGAGAGGAGGGCTGGGAGGGAAGGTGGGCTTGGAAGGGAGACACGCACACAACATCCCCACCACACGCAGGTACCACTTGTAGGGGCAGTGGGGACCAGGGAATGCAATCTTCATAGTTTTCTATTACCCAGTTTGCTGGAAAACACCCCATTTGCCCAACCCTGTGTGGAGAAGGGAGGAAAGCACTCCCAAGCCCGTGGAAAGGCTCCCTGCCTGCCCTTGGCCGTGTGCCAGCCAGCCCCTTACTTGTGCATCGGAGGGAGACGTACTTTCCCGTGAGACACTGTGAGCTGCAGGAGAGAGGAGGGAGACACGGCCTCAGCCCCATTCCTGTGGCACCAGGGCAGGGGCAGGGCAGGAGGTGATGCTGCCCGGTACCTGTTGAGGCTCTGCTGGATGGTCTCTTGCTCGTCAGTCACCGTGAGGCTCTTGCCAGAGACACGCAGGGGGATGTATTCAGTCTGAGATGCACTGGGAGGGAAGAGGAGAGGCAGTGAGGGTCCCCATGGCCCGGCACTGACCATCTGGTCCCTGCCTTACGAGCAGCGCTGGCCATACCACCTTCCAGCAGAAAAACACAATGCTGGCAGAAAGAGCACAGTGCCCAGGGGGCTGGCAGTGCCCCAACGCCCCAGCAGAACCACCCATGCTCAGGAATTACTTCTGAAACCCCAGCTGCCGGCAGGTCTTCCTGGAGAAGGACTCGTCCCAGGCGCTGCTGCACACCGGCAGCCACTGGTTCTCAGTGCTGGAGTAGACGTGGAGCAAGGACTCCTCGGATGTGAAGCGCACTGTGGGACGGAGCAGGGGAATCAGGGGCATGCCCAGCACCCCGGGGCTCCCCTCGCTCCCACTGCCCCAGCCCCTGGTGCCTCACCACAGCCCAGCTCGTCGCTGCGCTGGGAGCAGTCGACGACGCCGTCGCAGCGCACGGCGCTGTCCTTGCAGCTCTCGGCCGGCTCCTTGTACACAATGCCCGTCTGCGACCGCCAGAACATAACTGGAAGCAAGAAAATGCCGTGGTGAGGCCAGGGCTGGCCGTGGGTGAGGGGGCTGTGACCCACCTGCATGGGCATCCGAAGATACGCCAGGCACAGGAGTGCTCCCAAACACCAGGTGTGAGCGTGGGTGAGGGGGCTGTGACCCACCTGCATGGACATCCGAAGATACGCCAGGCACAGGGGTGCTCCCAAACACCAGGTGTGAGCGTGAGCTGAGCTCGAGCCAAGAGCGAGAAGCTGCTGGACACAGGGCTGAGGAAGGACTGGCCACCCTGAGCACCCCCCTGTGCTGCCCAGTTGCTGCAAGTCCCTCTCCCTTCACCCACAGAAACATGCATTCTGCCTGCGAGTGCTTCAAGCCCACCAGCTGGAGAACGGCAGCTGGATGTTACCGGGATTAAAGGGATTCCCCGCTGTCTGTGTGTGTTCCGCCTGCGGACCACAGTTTGTTTGGCAGATCCTGCCCAGGGGAGGGTGACTGTGGGTGCTGCTGGGGGGGCCCTGCTGCCCACCAAAGCGAGCCCAGCAGAAGGAAAGAACATTGCAGCCCCAAGCTCCCCAAATACCACTGTCAGCCGAGGCAGCAGATCTCCTTTCCCAGGCTCCTGTCTCTCCACCAGATGTCAGGAACACTCAGGGAATGGCAAGAGCACGCTGCTGCCTCTGGGTCCAGGGCTTTCCCTCTGGCACTTCCCAGCATAGGTATCCCCAGGCCCTGCTGACCCCCAGCCCCTCTGAGGTCCCCTCTAGGAGCCCCGGGCCACCCTGGGCTGGGGCCCCACTCACACAGCAGGATGAGGGCGATGAGCAGCACGATGAGGATGGAGACGCAGAAGATGAGCACAAGCCGCCGCTGGCTCATGCAGGGAGCTCTGAACATGGAGGATCCTGGCAGCAGGGTGGAGGCAGGGTCAGGGGGAGCAGCTGCCTCCCCGGGACACCCAGACTCTGTTACCCACCAGGCTCCCCAGAGGACCCCGAGGTGTGGGAGAGCAGAGCCATGCACACCCCGCACTGTCCCATCATTACAGTCCTCTCCCTTGCCCCCAGCACCCCTCACACCCCCAGGGAAAAACCAGCCTGTGGCCAAGGCTTGTGCCAGCAGCGGGCACAGGCACCCATCCCTGCCTCGCTCCATCCCTCCCCGCTCCAAGTGGGACCGGGGCCAGGGTGGCCAGAGACCAGCCTGGGCCCCATCCTTACGTGTGCTCTCACAGGCCGTGCAGGGCGTGGGGGCCGGGCTGGCCTCGGGGCTGTAGGGTTTGAAGCTGATGCCGAGGACGCTCTCCTGGGGCTGTGGGGGTCGGGCGCCGAAGATGCTGCTGACCGTGGAGGCATGGAGGCTGGAGGGGACACTGCCCAGTGATGCAGTGGTCTGGGAGCAGAGGAGACTGTCAGTGGCAGTGACTGATGCCCACTAGAGAGTCCCCCAGCTGCCACCCTGCCAGCTGTGAAGGCAAGGGCGATGCAGAGCTGAGTCCCCCGGCACCGCACCGAGCCCCCTGGCACTGCCAGCTGGGGCTGCTGGTGGCTATTCCACGGATCTCATGCAGAGTCACCACTCTGGTGCCCCTCTCTGAGCCATATCCCATCCAGGATGACCCAAAACCTCGTTGTCATGGAGCTTTTCCCTCCAGATGGATGAATTCCCCAGACCCATCGCTGTGATCGGAGCAATCAGACGGGTACTTGGCACCGGGTCAGTCACGTCGTGGCCCAGTTCCACGGGGCTAGTGCCCCAATTTATGCATCTATCCTTAATTAGCCATTTGAAAAATACAGTGTAATTTCCAGTTGTTATTTAGTAATACTTAATAATCGGTGTTTTCCAAGCCCTGAAACGTCCTGTACCCTGGAATGCTGCTCTGCAGTTGTGTCACTGCTAATCCATGAATTCGCAGAAGAATATGTATCTGCTTCCTTTCCTCAAGATGCACCCTTCCAAGTGTTCCATCAGCTGCAGAAGCCACAGCCTCTCATTTTCCTTCAGAGAGGACCAAAATAAATGCTGTTTCCCCTGCCTTTTGTGAAATCTCTGTAGGACGGACAGGGCTTGGAGGAACCTGGTCTACTGGGAGGTGTCCCTGCCTCTGGCAAGGAGTTGGAACTGGACGAGCTTCAAGTCCCTTCCAACCCAAACCATTACAGGATTCTGTAATGCCACTGATGTCCCACAGAAGGGACACTCAGGAGAAGTGGAGCTGATCCCCAGGGATCACTTACCAGCCAGAGGTGGGCTCTAACACATCCCTCCAGAAACCTGGAGTTTTGGCCCTGTAGTTGCTAGAGAACACCTTTCCCCAGGACCAGAAAACATCCCTTTCCCTGACAAGCCAGCAAGCAGCACCCAGGCTGGATCACAGCTCTGGGATGGGCAGAGGATGGGACGTGGGCAGAGCAGGGGCAGTGGTGGGAGCCATCACTGCCCTTCCAGCTGGATTTTCTCTCCCCTCGAGTTTCCTGCCCCATGGGAACCAGGAGCCCTGATGGGCAGGTCGGGAGGCTGCTCAGGCTCTCGCTCTGTAAATACGGCTGTGCCCTTTCCTGCAATGCGGTGGTGTAACTTCCTGGGCATTATCCCTGAGTCACACCCCCGGCGTGGCCACGCTCCATCGGCACACCAGGGACATGCACACCCCTCCTGGACTGTGCCTGGGGAGCTCAGCACCCGCAGGGCCGGCGGGCACAGCACCCCGGGCTCCGGGGAGGCTGCCTGGCCACCCGCCCTGGCCAGCAGCGGGGTGTGCAGGGCCACCCCCCGGCACCGACCTCCTCCCGCCGCCCGCGGGGCCCTTGGCACGGGCTGCACTAACATCTCCTGGCCGTGGGGAGCCACGGCCCCACTCGTGTCAGGCTCCCAGGGCTCCTGGGTGTGAGCAGGAGCAGAGGCACTTTCTGTTTCACAGCACCAGCCCACTCTCACCCCTTCCTGAGAGCAAGCCTGGATCTGCTCAGCCTGCAGGCTGAGGTTTCCCTACACCTGGATTTCCCAGCAGCCATGTGGACAAGCCCAGGATGGCAGTGCTTCAGCCTTGCTTTCTCCCAAAGGCGCTGGGGAGCCCAGGAGAGCCCCTCAGTGTGCTCTGCTGGGAGCTGGGAGGGCTGGGGAGTGCCCCACGCTGCCCTTCCCTAATGAGCCTGAGCAGTCACACAGACGGGATTCAGGTTCTCACACACCCACACAGTGGGGCATCCCCGGGTACCCTCAGTGCCCATTGTCAGACAGCAAACACAGCCAGAGCTGTGGCAGGGCCTGAACTGCTGATTTGCAGAAACAAAGCAATGTGTGGATGCCAGGAATCCTTCCTGGGAAAAGAATTTCTTCTGTCTACGTATAAATGAAGTTTTTTTTAAATACCCTTTTGCAATGGCATTTGTGTGCTACCTCCACACCACCCAATATTTCACGTCTCGCCCTGCAGCAAGTGTAACCCTTCACTTGTCAGACCAGCAGAATTACAATCCTCCAAAGGACAAACCTCTCCATCACACTAGAAAACACAGCCCAGCTTCCCCAGGGAGTCAATGATGCTACAACACTTCCACCTTCAGAGTGCAAATATATCAAATTAACACTGAAGTATGCCATAGGTCAAACTGCTTGAACACTTCTCAGCAGGAAGCACATGCCCTTTTACATTCAGGTGAACATTTAGCTACTTATTGCCTCAAAAGTCCAAAGTCCAGATAATTTTGTAGGCCTATCAGAGAAGCTAACAAAGCTTTCGCCACAGGCTCCAGGTCACCAGCAAACCTATTGTAAGGCCACTGTAGCAGAGAGAAAATAGCAGTGGTTTTACAAAGATGCTTCTGTTAAGAAGAGCGCAAAACCCCGGCGAGGGAGTGACAGCTCCTGCCCACAAAACCTTTACTCATCCTTTGCTGGCTTTTGAGTAAAAGTCAGAGGCAGAGCCGAGCCCGTATCGCACGAGCGGCTGCGGTTTGAGGCCTTTCCCCAACGCCCTCTCTGCAAACGTTCCACCACCAGCCCTGAGGGTGGTACGTGCCAAAGGCAGCTGTGGGGAGGGGGAGCACAGCCAGCCTCTGTTTGTGGCAGGGATGGATTTCAGAGAACAGTGAGGAGGGATTCTGGGGACACACACGGGGACACTTGGCCAGCTCTACTCACGTCACAAAGGGGAAGAGCGAACGGTGCCTGTCTGCAGCACAAGCCCTTTGCTAAACATGTCAGGAGTGCAAACACCACATCACTCCTCTCTGCTCTGAGAAGAGCCGGGCAAAGCACCTGAACCACAGACAGCAGCGCTGAGATGCCCATCCCCTTTGCACCGTGAGCTGCCACGCGCACTGACCTGCAGCTCAGCTCCCTGCTGCAGAGGGAAGGCCCCCAGATCCATGGCAGCAGGGGACAATCACCAGGGGAAAGGTGATCCGGGCTGGGCTGGAGGCTCAGGATCCGTGGGCAATGGGGAGGGAAGCAGGGAAAGCAGCCAGCAGTCACCCGCAGTTTCGGAGTGGGAGGGAGAGCGGAAGCCGGGTGACACCTGGGTGTTGTAACCGGACCAGGTCCCGGCCGTGCCTCCCAGGAGCACAAGGACATGGGCTCAGAATCTGGAGCTGCCTCAGTAGCTGATCATCCCCCCCAGCTGAGCTCAGCTGCCCAGCCTCACCATCGCTCCCAGGTACCCACAGACCCGTGTCCAGGCTGGGAACTGGCTCCTTCACCTGCCTGTGAGCACCGATTGTGCAGAGCAGCTCAGCCAGCACACAACAGAGACATTGTCCTCGCCAGGGACAAAGCCCTGCCCAGCCTGTGAGAGCCCCGATCCCCCCTGGTGACACAGTCCTGCCCGAGTGTCACAGCTGAGCGGAGCCTCCCTGGGAAGGGACAGACCCCAGCCCCAGAGCGGGGCAGGGGCTGCCAGAGGACGCTGCTGAGGCCCTGATGCTGTAAAGGGGCAGCACACGGGGAAGTGAAATCCCAAAGCACGCCAGGGCCATTTTGCAAGTGCAGGTGACAAGCCACCTCAATTGAGTCAGCCTGATGTGGCCAGGGACAGGTTGCCCTGTGCCAGTGTGAGCAGCCCTTTGGGCAGAGACCTGAAAATGTTCCAGGGGGTGAGAATGGCTGCTCACCCCATTCCACAGATGGGCAAACCAAGGCACAGAAAGGCAAAGTGACTTTCCTGCAGCTGCAGAGGCAAGGTGGCTCCTGGTGGCCCATTTAATCCAAGTGACAAAGCCAAGGTGGCCCAGTGGGGATGTCCAGTATTGGGCAACTGTCTCTATGCGCGAGCATCCCAGTTCACGCCCTGCTGTCACCAAGATGCAGTGATGCCACCTGCTTTGGGGCCACCCAGAGCCGGGACCACTCTGCAGAGCAGTGCTGGGGTCAGACTGCTCCACGGACCCAGCTAGCATCCGGCACGAGCCCACTCTGCCCCTGCTCCTGCCTGGCACCCCCATGCCAAGGGGCAGGAGGAGGATGGTGTTACAGCTGGCCCTGCCTCCCCTCGAGCCCCAGCCACCCCGTCACCGCCAGCTTTGCACGTCCCAGACGTCGCTGGCACGGTAATTACCCACGGCCTCGCCCGGTGCCCAGCCGGGATGGATGTTTTCCTCATGACAGGATGCTCAGCAAAGTCCCACATCCAAGGCTGAGCAGGTCCCAGTCAACCCAGCCTGAAAACTGCCCAGAGAGATGGTGAAGCAGAGCAGCAGGGCTGAGCCCACTGCTGCCAAAGTGCTGCTGGAAAGTGCCGGAGGGCTCAGGAACTCAGTGAGGCTCCCACGGGTGCCAAGTGGCACCAGATCCCACTGACAGCACCAACTGGTCCCCCCAGTTCACAACTCCACTTCAACATGAAACAGAAGGATGCAGGGGGCCCGAACACCTCCTCTGCCAGCACGGAGCTGACACCAGGGATGCTGGTGACTGTCCCCCTCCCTCCATGTGCCCAAGAGTGCCGGAGGCAGCAGCCCCCCAGGCAGCTCATCCTGGCTGCTTCTCCCCACTGGCTGCTTCTCCCCACTGCCTGCTTCGAAGGCAACACCCTGGAGAGCAGGGAGGAGAGATTGGGCTCTCCACCAAACCCCGAGGAGAGCGGGTCCATCCAGCCCCGGCGCACCCCCGTCCCCCCCGCGGGGTCGGAGCCGGGGAGCTGCCCGTGCCTTACCGGAGGGGTTTTGCCGTCCATGGGCCGCTGCGGGCTGGGCTGGGCTCACAGCTCCGGCACGGCCATCCCGCGCAGCGCGGGCGAGCACAAGCCGGGTGCCTGGACGGGGGCAGGAGCTGTTTGGGAGATTGGCTCGTACGTCAGTGCCAGCGCGGAGGGAAACCAGTCGGACCTGCCGCTCGGCTCCACCGCTGCCTGTTTCCCAACTGCTCCGGGCACAACATGCAAAACACCTGCCCCTGTGCCGGCAGCCCCGGCACTGGGAGTGGGAGCCTGCCCGTGGCCAGAGGGGTGGGAGTCTGGGAGCAGGTGAGATCTCCCCTGGCCCCAGGGGACGGGGGTATCCTGATCTCCCTGGTCTCCAGGAGTTCTTTGCTGCTCTCCTGGCTGCCTGCCCACCCAATTCCCCCCTTCTTCACTCTGTGCCCACCACACATTCACCCACAACCTCTCCAGTCCAGCCAAGGGCTAAGCGTGCCAGCTGAGGATGGGAGAGGAGGGGATGCACAGCCATGCCCAACCCCAGGAAAACCTCTCTGGTGTGACCCAGAAGTCAAGAATTCCATGTTCCGAGGGAAACGAAATGCAGTTTTCCTCTAGTTTCTCTAGAGGCCTTTTCACTCCTTTACTAATGAAGTGATCCTTTTGCCAGCAGCCAGCAGCAGCCTCCTGCCTGCCCTTCAGGCACAAGCTGGGGATGCTTTGCTTAACCAAGAACTCAGGTGGAAACAGAAATAACCAGATTAAAGAAAAAGGCCCAGCTGCATTGTGTGCTCTCTGATATCCAAACCCCTGACCCTCACTGCCACACATTTCTCCTGGCATTATTCATAGAGTAAGTCCCTTATTCATCCAGCTCCCCACCCACACCTGCTCGTCGGAAGGGCAGGAGATAAGCAGGAACATCCAAGCTTGGAGAAACCCTACTGCAAAGCCTGTGCTGGATCCCACTGTCTCCTCCTGTTCTGGGAATCCCATCTTCCATGGGATTTTTCTGAGCCAGGCCTCACTCCACAGCACACTCCTCTGCAGTTTTCACAGGCAGAAGTGGGTTTGGGGGTTTTTTGTTTGCTCTTTGTGGTTCCTCCGTGCCTCTGCAGGCTGAGCCTGCTGGGTACTGGGGCTGGCCAAGCACTGAGCTGCATCCCCAGCCAGCCCTGAGCCAACCAGCCATGTCCACAGGAGCTGCCACATCCTCTTCAAAAGGGATTTTCAGAAAGCAGCTCCAGGTGACAACTCCAGGAATCATTCACTACTTGCCGGTGTTTCTACAAAGCCACCTACAGAAAACAAGTCACAGAGAACAGTGTGTCCGGCCTGACCCCAGCAGCCTGATGGTAAATGTCAGTGAGCACAACACCTCCCAGGTGAAATCCTCACCCTTGCCTGCTGGTAACTGCTGCTGTGAGCCCTGCAGCACCCTCCTGCCCTCCCAGCTAGCACAGAGGTGATAATAGCACCCACAGCCAGAGCCGGCTCCACCAGCCCCGGAGAGCCCGGCGGCTCCTCCGCACTCCGCTCCAACCTCCAGGCACGAGGGAATTGGGGAGGGAAGAGGATCACTCTGCTCCTGTCCTGCGGCAGGACTGTGCAGACCCAGCCCTCCGGCCCCAGCCCTGCATTGAACAGTGCAGCATCCCTGCCTGACCCCTCTGTCACCCTGGGAAAACTTCCCGAGGGACACCGGCTAGGGAAACACAGACCCAGCCGTCCCTGGCCCGGGTTTCTCTGCAGTGTGTCCACCAGGAGATATTTCAGGGTCAGCCACATCACCCACAGGTCACACCGTGCAGCAGCTCAGGTGCCAGCCCGAGTCCCCCAGGGTGCCTGTGCCACGCACCATCCCAGCCTTCTGCAGAACTCTCAGTTCTCCTCAGCCTGTTTCATTTTCCCTTAAATAACCAACCCCTTCTCCCAAGCCTCTGAACCGCCTCACCCACAGGACCAGCCCTGTGGTGTCTTTTCCACAAAGCTCCCTCTTCCCTCATTTTTGGTCCTGTTGCTTTTAATTGTCATTATTTTACACAAAACACAAGCTGTGGCTTTGTGTGGGATGGGCTGTGCTTCATCTTAGGACTCTTTAAGTTCAGTGGCTGCCAGATCTGACTCAGGAGCTGATAGCAGAGTGATAGGACAGCAGCTGATCTGCCAAAGACTGGGGAATAAACCCAGGGCAGGAAGGCATCTGCTGCTGGTGCTCTGGCCAGGCTGCAAGTTTGTGGAAACCCTTGGCCTTTAGCAGGAAGGACGAGTCAGGGATAACAGCAGAAATCTTCCACTTAAGGCATTTAAGATGATTCTTCAAGGAGGAACCTGAGGTCCTGCACCTCTGTGCCCACCAAGCCAGGCCTGACATGATGCTCTCTGAGTCTGTCCCGAGCACTTTTGGTTCCTCTTACTCTTTTCATCTGTGTCTTTTCCACTTATTCCCCAGGGGGAAATTCCTCTTCTTGGGGTGAATCACTCCCCATCACATGAGGGCTCCAGGAAAACCCTCAAGCAAGCTCTCCTGTAATCCCACCTGCCAGAAGGCAAAGCAGAGGACTCACAGCCCCTGGGGGGGGGGGGTAATTCAGGTCTCAGCATCACCAGATAGGCAAGACATCACCGTGGGGCCAGACCCCACAGCCACGTGAGTCATGGCCGTACCTGGGGGGCTACCAGAGCCCTGGGGACAGTGACAGCCCCCTGCCACACTGGACTTGAGATGGGTGTAGGTGTTTGCAGGACACAGAATAGCCCAGAAATTGTCACTCAGCCCCATACATGGGGAAAGAAACGGGAGGATAGAGGCCAAGCCCAAAGGAAGGGAAAGCCAGAACCCTCTCCTGGGGCTCCAGGGCTGGATGGAACCTGGCTGGATTTAGTTGCTGGCAGGACAGGACATGGTGCTGTGCTCTGTAAAATCCCTGTGGCAGGTCACCCTCAGTGCTAACACTCACTTTTGCTGTGCTTTTAACATCTCATCTCAAAACGAAGCAGCAAAGGCAGAGACATCGTGTACTTGTACTTGCCTTTCTCAGCACTGCACTGTTTTGCTCAGAAAAGCCCCCAAAATTCTTCCTTTAAGTCTGCAGTTGGAAATGCCCAGCCCAGGGCTGAGATTGTCTGGGGGTGAGTGGGTGGACAGCAAAAAAACAAAAAGTGGAAGTAGCTGCACAGCGACTTTCCTCCCGCTCTGCGAACGCCTCCGAGACGTCACCGAGCCAACCCCCGGGGAAAAACAGGCGCTCGGCCCCCGCCGGGGCAGAGCTCGGCACGGCACTCACCCTGCTGCCACGGAGGATGCTGAGCTGCCATGGGCCCCTCTGCCCCTGCCCTGGCGCTGTGCCTGGCGCTGCTCCTCGCCCCGCACACACACGGTGAGTCTCTTGCCCGCGCCGGTTCTCATCTCCCTGCTCATCTCCGCGGCTCCGGGTGGGCTGCTCAGCCCGGGATGGGGGAGGCAGGCAGGGAGCAGGTTGGAGCCACCAGGGAGCTTGGACACCATCACTGGGTGCTCAGACCGGCGCTTTGGAGTGAGACACGGCAGGGCTCCCTGCTTGCCACTTGCCTTTTGTTGCTGGTTGGGAGCCCAAAGGCTGTTGAGTCCCCAGCCTTGCTTGTCCCCAGCGCTGTGATCACAGGCGAGGTGCCACGGCCGCTGCTGGGCTCGGTGTTTGCCGGCAGACAGCAGCTGCCAGGGAAACCCACACGGGGGGTGACAGATGTTATCGAGCCGAGACTTTGCTGCCAGGTGACAGGACTGAAATCAGGCAGGAGGTGTGAAAACAGTCTGTTTCATCCAGGCAGCAGATGAGCAAAACAGGAAAGCAGAGCCCAAACACAGCTGTGAGAAAGCTGAGTCCGGACAGAGCCCCCGTGGCCAATGGCAGGGCTTGGGGATGCAAATACAGCTCCTTTCTTGGGGCAGAAAAGCACGGGGAACCCCCTGGCTGGGCTGAGCTGGGCTCTGCCCAAAGAGAAAGGAAGGGGAAGATGGGGATGAGCAAACACTGAAACTCGGACAAAGAACTCCAGGGAAATCCTTACGCATTTCGAGTGGTCAGCACTAAACGTGGGGTGACGCTCCAGGAAGCCCTCCCAAGGGCCCTGCCCAGCTCCCGTGGGCACCAGTGGGACGGGGGGCTGTGCAGCCTCACCCAACGCCCACCGTGGGTCCCGCAGGTGAGGGGCTGGTGAGCCCCCGGCGCGTGCGCTTCGCTGCCGAGACCACGTGGCACGTGCTGGAGTGGGAGCCGGGACACGGCCACCCCAGGGACGTCTGCTACGACGTGGAGTACAAAGTGTGAGTGCAGCCGTGGGGGCTGAGCCCTACCTGCCATCCGACTCCAACGGCAAGGGACAGCTGAGTCCCTGCTGCCCACACAGCTCTCACCCCCGGTGCTTTTCCCCGCAGCTACGGCACCAAAATCCCCTGGACGGCCGTCCCAGAGTGCACCAAGTCCTCGAGGCGATCCTGCGACCTCACCTTCTACACCCTGGATCCCGACAAGCGCTACTACGCCCGGGTCAGGGCCGTGTTCGGGAACCACACGTCCTCGTGGCAAAGGACCAACGCCTTCTCCCCACAGGATGGTAGGTTGGGGTCTGCCTTCACCTCGGCCAGGGGTAGGAGGCTCTGAGGATGGTGAGGTCAGGGTGCCAAACCACTTGGGAAGAACTGTGGGATGAATGAGAGCAGGGATAAATCCCTCCACACCTTCCTGGAGGGCAGGCAGGCTGCAGGATAGGATGGGACAAAGCGAGGATGGGTGGCACCGGCTGCGAGGGACAGTCACAGCTCAGTCCAGTGCTGCAAGCAGGACACAGCCCTAACGTGCTCTTCCGGCTGACTTGCCTCCAGCCAGCCTGCGCCTGTCGGGCCAGAGCCTCTCCGTGAGGGGCAACACCATCCACGTGCAGCTGCAGCTGCTCTTCCAGACTGGGAAAGTCACTGTGAGGTACAAAGACATCCACGAGGACACGAGGCAGTACCGTGTGTACGTCAGGAGGACACAGGACAACAAGACGGTGAGATGAGTTGCTGCTCCCATGCTGTCTGTCCCACACGGTGCTGCTCAGGTGGAAAAAACACATTGTTAAAGCACATTCTTCTGTAAAACTAAATGCTGAGCTTTCTCAGAGCCATGACACTGCAGAGAGGTTTCTCTGCGTGTTTTATTGCAGCAGCTTCCCCGGCTCTTGGGATTTTGGGCCTAACTGCTGTCAGCTGGGGAGGGGAGATGTCCCATTGCCAGGGGACAGGGGAGGAGGGGGGAAGAAAGAGGGGGAACCAGCCCTGCTGCAGGAGGTGGAGGCTCTCAGGTACCAGCCTGTGCTCTGCTTGTTGCAGTTTGAAGTGGTGGAGACCAGGGCAGAGTTCACCCTCAGCAACCTGCTCTGGGGCACTGAGTACTGCCTGAGCGTGGAGCCCGGCGTGACCAACCGGCGTGTCCCTGCCACGCGCACCGACGAGCAGTGTGTCACCACCACCCAGAGACACAGTGAGTGGGGGCCAGGGAAGGGAGGGATGCAGACCCTCCTCAGCCTCTTGGCCCTGGGGATGTGGCGGGGTCCACGCCAGGACAGCCGCTCTGTGCTCTTTGGATGCTGCCTGTCCCCCTCACCTGGACATGTCCTCTCTTGCAGGGATTGTGGAGCTTCTCCCGAGCATCCTCAGCCCCTGCTTCATTGTGCTTTTGGGGATCCTGGGGGCTCTGCTGGTGCACACCTACATAAAGAAACCCGTGAGGACACCGTCTGTCCTGGTAAGGTACCTTTTGTGGCTGGCATGGAGGGGCAGGCGCAGGCTTGGGGAGTGCTAGGAGCAGCCAGCAACAAGAGGGACAAAGCCCGGCTCACTCCCTTCTTTCTCTCCCTCTCAGAAGTCCTTCATGAAGCAGAGCTCACTCTGGGTGGAGCACGAGCCCCCATCCTTGGGCAGCCTAGACACAGACCCCATCCAGCAGCTGTTCCTGTGCCAGAAGGAGCCCCAGCTGGACAGCAGCACTAGCACAGCCCAGGTGCCCCTGGAGCAGGGCTGGAGGCTCCCAGTGTGGCCTGAGGACCGGCTGTGCCTGCTGGGACCCGTGGGAAGCCGAGACAACAGCGGCAGCAGCACCGACAGCGGCATCTGCCTGCACATCCCCTCCTCCTCCCCCGGACTGAGCTGCTCCGCCCGCCCTGAGCCCCAGGGCTACAGGCGACAGCTGCCCACTGGCGACGACAGCGGTGTGGGCTTGGAGAGCCCCTGCCCTGGTCCCACGTGCTCCTCCAGCAGCGGGAACAGCAGCCAAGGGGAGCCAGAGCTCTGCCCTGCCACCGGCCAGGAGGCCGTGGAGTTCCGCGGGTACCTGCAGCAGGGCAGGGGCACGGTGGAGCCAGGGCAGGACCCAGCCCAGGGAATGCCCCTCTCGGGCTGTGAAGGGCCTGGGCAGGGCACTGACCTCGTGCTGGGTGTTGAGTGCTCCGAGCTGGCTGTGTCCAAAGGGTATTTGAAGCAGTCCTCTCCAGAGCATCCCCGTGGCCACGCGCAGGACCTCGCTCCATGGGGAGCCCCTTCCTTGGACTTTTCCAGCCAGGTGGGACCCCTAGCCCCCACTCTGCTGAGCTGGGGGGCTCCAAGTGCTCCCTTGGTCTCCAAAGCTTGCCCTGAGCTCCTGAAAGCTCCCTTCGACCTGAGCATCTTCAACACTGACGTCCTGGGGACGCTGCCCCTCACCTCCAGCCTCAGCACAGACTGGCTCACACTGCCAGTGAACCCCCTGAGCCTGCTCAGTGGGGACAGCAAGGACAGCCGCCTGTGAGCCGTGCCCAGGCCGGGGACAGGTGCTGCCAGCCCTGCACACTGACACAACTACCTCTTCTACCCACTGCCCGTGGGGAGCAGCCACTCAATAAGCTACTGCCACCCCTGAATGTTAACACACCAAACCAAGTGGAGCCAGGCTGAGACACATCCCTGGAGCACCTGCTCAGCTACTGCTGGGGCTGCTTTGGCCCCAGGACTGTGTGGACAGCCTCCAGAGTGTCCCTCCAGCTGATCTCTGGTGTACACTAACGAGAGACAGGGATGGACTGCGCTGGAGAGGCTCACCCAGCTCAAGGATACGCACCAGGATGTTTCCCAAGGATGATCCTGTCTTGTCTGCCCTCCTCAGCAGCCCAGCCTGAGGCACAGGGCCACCCTTGGGGCTGGGGCCAGCTGTGTGTTTCCACTTCCCCCTTTCTCTGGCCAGCACTGGGCTCCTCCAGCTGATGTCCACAGCTCCGGTGACGTCCTCCGATGACATCCAGACCTTTCACAACACAGACACTGGGAGCAGAGGGCAGCCTGACATCAGCTACCCTACTGCTGGAGCACGGGGCTCCCTCCCTGGCTGACCTCACGTGGAGGGAGCGAGGGACTTTCCTGACCCCACAGAGACCCTCTGGCATCCAGCCCCTCTGGCAGAGCCCCGGGGTGCTGGCTGTCTCATGGGTTACGGGATACACGATGAGCCAGGCCAGCCCTGCTTAACACTATGGGCTGTGTTCTGCCCCTGCTGTATGCAGACATTATTTATTCTATTTAATTTGTAAATACAAAGGATGTGGTGTTATTTATTTGGGCCGTTTGTCTGTTCATCCTCTCCTAAGGTCAAGCTGTGCTTTCCTTTTCACGCACGGACATTCCCCAGCAGCAAAGGGCAACGTGCCTTTGCCTCACGTGGGGAAGAGCATTTCCAGCACATCACAGCTGCAAAAGGAGAACCAGGGCAGATCACTGAGAGCTTCTCACACACCTGAGGACCAGGGTGGTTGTCCCAGGGCAGTGTTGTGGGATCAGTCACCAGAGGAGCAGCAGGGAAAAGGAGCTGAACTGCTCATCATTATTCCACAGGGGTGGGATGGGACAGCAGGGAATACAGAGGGATTCCATGGGACAGCACCAGGGAAGGACAGGAGAACCTCAGGGCAGAGCAGAACAAATAACAGCCAGGGGTTGGGGAAACCAGGAAAGACTGAATGTGGCACTTAGTGCCACGGGTTTGTTGACATGGTGGTGTTTGGTTATAGGTTAGATTGATGACCTCAGAGGTCTTTTCCAACCTAATTGATTCTGTGATTCTGTGAATAGTTACTGTCAGAATGGAAACAGTAAGAGATGGAACAACTCACCGCGGGCCACACACCTGACTGCTGCCAGATTGCAGCAGGGAAGTTTTTCCAAGAGTCACGTAGTTTCCAAGAACCTTCACGGTGGGATAGTCCCATTAAAACTGCTGGTGGAAACCTTCCTCGGGGAATATGTTTTTCAGGTGAAAGCATGAGTCACTGCAGGCAGGAGAAGGGCACTGATCTTTGCCAGGTTGCCTTTTGTTACACCTGATGTGGCACTACTCACACGTGAGGTCAGTGCCTGCATCCCGCGGGGCCCGGCCGTGGAGGTCACTGGGCACCTCCTCCTGTCCCTCCACTGACCCCAACTCTTTGGCCTCCGTGTGTATTGGGGGCTGGAGCTTTTTGCTTTCTTTTTCTTTTTTTTTTTTTTTCAACTTCCTCTGGAAAACGGAGTCATCAAAACTAAGCGTGACCTTTTTTTAGTTTTTCTTTCAAGCTCCGCTGACGTCAAAGCTCCGCGGGCGGATCCTGCGCCGTGCCGAGTGCTGGCAGTTCCTGCCCACCACCAAGGGCTCCAGCTGCCAGCACCCAGGGCGACAGGAGCAGCCAGAGCTCTCCTTTCAACCAAACCCAGGAGTTCGCCAGAAAGCTGCAGACCACAGGGCTTGGCTCTGGTGGCCGAGTGCTGATAGTCCCTCTGACTGCCTGGAAATCCCGCTCTGTCCTCACTGGTTTCCCTGCACACAGCCATGGGGAGTCACGAGTTTCTCTTCATTCTCCTTCTGAGGAAAGTTTGCGTAGAAATGGTCCCTCTCTGTGGCCACAGCACCTTCCCCACGGCTGCTCTCATGCTCTGGGCACTTCCACAGCCACTTGCTCTGCTGAGACTGAAGGCAGTCGGTATGAAAAAATCAGGACAAACCTCACAGGGGCTTTCTGAGGTGTTTGCTTGCGCTATTGGTGCAGGGGACAAACTCCCACATTGGTCCCGATACTGGAGCGAGGAGGGGGCCTGGAGCAGATTTCCCATTTCTTCATAGCATTTTCCACAGTTGCACAAACCTGGCCACCCAGTTCTGGGGCTCCTGGCTGTCCTCCTTAGCTGGTGCCCTGCACTCTCAGCCCCAGGTCTCCTGGGCATGCAGGTGGCTGGTCCTGAGGGCTGGAAGGTCTCTGAGCCGTGGGGAGGGTGGTTGTTTTCTCTGGGATGAGTGATGAGGGAGCCTGGAATGAGGCTGCATCCTCTTCCTCCATCCCAAGCGAGGGGAGGCTGTGCCAGTGCCAGCCCCGGGCACCTCCTGTGCTGCCCATGGCCAGGGAAGGACAGCAAGAGAATTGTGGCTGGGGAGCAGATGGAGGAGCTGCCCAGGGAGAGTGTGGAGTCTCCCTCTCTGGAGACATTCAAAATCCTCCTGGATGCATTCCTGTGTCACTTCTTCCAGTGGCAGTTTGGACCAGGTGGTCCCCAGAGGTCCCTTCCAACCCCAGCTATTCTGTGAAGCTTTTTTAAAAAACAGAAAACAGAAACTGCTACGTTACCATTTCAGTAGAAATCCAGCATGTTTAGGGGGCTGTTTTTTACAGAAGTGAAAATGGAGGAGTTCCCCCCAGCCGGTTTTGGTTGCTTTTTTTGGCTGGCGCTGGGTGGTGGGTGAGAGGCAGCGAGAGGAAGCGGTGCAGGAGCACCCAGGCTCCAGCCCCAGCCCCCTTTGTCCCTCCCCACATGTTCCACCCCAGACCAAGGACAGCAGGGAAGGAAATGCAAACCAAAGCCTGTCCAGGGGGAACGAAAACCAGAGCCCGGGGAAAGCCCCTGTAGCCCCACAGCCACAGGATTTCTGCTGGGAAAACCTTGGGACTATCCCAGGGAAAGCTGCGATGCCCAGGGGCTACAAGGCAGCAGGGAGGCTTTGGGGCACAGCACTGTCATCCCCCTGGGCTCCTCAGAGGCACCCACGGGCTGTGCTGGGGGGACATGCATGGCTGGGGACCCCACACCCATCACAGGGTGATGTCCTACCTGCTCAGCAGCCCGGCTCTCTCCTCATGGCCCCCGGGTTGGAAGCGGCTTGTAGCCCTGCCTGTGGTGCTCAGAGAGCCACTGATGCTGAATGGGGGCACCAGCTCCACTGCCACTGACCCCAGCCCGCTGTGGGGAGAGCAGAGATGTCAGCAAGCTGCCCGTGTCCCCCCCCCTCAGCCCCTGCCAGCCCGCAGGGTGGGCACTGTCCCCGTGGAGACCCCCAGAACAGCCACACTGGGGAGGCAGCGCCTGCAAACTGCAGAACGTGGGGGATTCAGGACTGGTGAGGGTGTGTGACACCTCAGCACTGAGCACACTGAGCAGCCAGCCCACCCCAGGTCCCCCCATGGCAACACTCACTGCGTGTGGTAGAGGTTGAAGACGAAGTCAGGCCCTGGAGAGGCAGGAGGGAGAGGTGTCAGAGCCACATAATGCCACAAACCCACCTTAGCTTTGCTGCGAGTCTCTGGCAGCACTGGGACAGGCAGGACAGGCAGTGGGACAGCACCAGGACATCAGGGTGCATCGCCCTCCTCGCCTCTGCGTGTCCCCAGCTCGCCCCAGAGCCCCTGCACGGAGGTTTCCCAGGGGCCAGCAAAGGTCAGGGGTGCTCCCCAGACCCTGCAGCCCTGTCCTTTGAACCCTCCCTGCCCCGTCACCACCTGTCCCCTCTGCCCTGCCCTCACTCACGGTGCCAGCACCAGCCCCTCTGGTACCACCGGATGAAGGTGTAGCCAAAAACCACCAGGATCAGCAAGGCCAGCCCGATGCCCAGCACGGCCCCGACCACGTTGATGGACTCTTCCCCTGCAAAGCAGAGGGAGAAGGGGCTCTGCAGACAAACACCTCTGGGAGGTTGGGGGTTCTGATCTTCCCCTGGGGGGGATAGGATGGCTGGGATCTGACCTTCTACCCTGTGCTGTCCCTACAGTGGGGAAGGGTTACACACCACGAAGAAGTTGTTGAGTGCTGTGGCACAGAGATTTTTGCCACCCCCAAAGCCCTGTGATGGAGACTTGGTCACACAGCCACCACCTCTGCTGTCCCCAGGCGAGTTGGCAGGAGGGATGGTGACTGGGGAGGGAGCTGGCCACCCTGACCACGCTGTATCCCCACTTCTGGTCCCACTCACACCCTCGTGGGGTGAAGCACCTCGTCCAGCTGCCCCGGGAGCCATCCATCGCTGCAGCCAGCCCTGCACAGGCAGGCAGACCCATTTCTGGGCTGGCAGTTCCCTCTAGAGGATGCACTTGTCAGGGCGAGCAGCCTCGGGCTGCCAGCGCCGGGCTGGGACGGGACATGGCAGGAGCTGTGCAGGGACATGGAAGGGGCTGTGCAGGGACATGGAAGGGGCTGTGCAGGACCACTGTGGGGCTCTACACCACTCCATCCCTCCCGTCCATGTCACAGGGGCTGGTGAAGTCCAGCACCAGCCAACGCTCCCAGGATTGTTGAGGTGCCCAGCACAGCAGAGTTGCTGAGAATCCACTTCTCTGCTGACAGCTCTGGGGGGGCTGTGCCCAGGAGGGCACAGGGGGTTTGGGCACTGTCCCACAGCACTGCCAGCGCCTCAGTGCAGGGCACAGGGACGGATCCTGCGCCGTGCAGAGTCTGGAGTGAGGAGGCAGCGGAAAGGGATGACCTAACAGCAGCTAAATTTAGGCAGATGCCAGTGGAGTGAGCACATTTCCCCTGTGGTCACAGTGTTTGCATAGTGAGCAAGGTCCTGGGTCATCCTGCAACCCGCAGCACTTGCTCTACCTGATGGGATCCAGCCGGGAGCCACAGAGCCTGTGAGCACCCGGGTTCCACGGCAGGGGAGCAGGAGCAACCCCCCTTCCCTCCCTTCTCCCAGCCCTCCTGCCTGGAGAGGGTGACATGGGCAGCCAGTGCCTCCTGCTCCTGCTGGGGCAGGGTGAGCTGGAGCTCTGGGACCCCAGGCCCTGGCAGGGGTGAGGTGAGGAGCTGCTGCAGCCGTGACTCATGTGCAGGAGCTGCGGGGCAGGAGGAACGTGCTGCAACAGCCTCCCTGAATCAGGTGGCTGCCGAAACTGCCCTGTCCCCACGCCCACTGCCAGTGGGAGGACGATGGCTTCATGCCCAGGCCCTGCCCCGTGCCGAGTGTGGGAGGCATCCCTGCCCTGACACCCTCGGGAGCAGACATCCTCCCAGACATCCCCCCATCCCAGAGGGGTGGCTCTGAGCAGCACTGCTGGAGGCAGAGCCACCATGGCAGGTGAGCCTCAGCCCCAGCTCCCAGACAGCAGAGGGGAGGAAGGTCACCAAAACACTGCCCATGCCATGAACCATCCCACCTCTGCCCCCTGAGGGGAGACAAAGGCCCTCACTCACCTCTCTGGGGGTCCATCTCGGTGTTGAGTGCAGGAGCTGCTCACGGCTGTCCCGGGCTGGAGCTGCTGCAGCAGAGCCCTGTGAGTGCTGGAGCCTGGCACGTCCTGCCCGTGCCCTCCTCTCCCGGTGACACAGCTGCCTCACCACCTCCACTGCAGCGAGGCCAGGCACCAGCCCTCGCCCACTGGTCCAACTGGTTCCTGGGGAGAAAGCAGAGGAGCTGCAGCAGACACGGCAGACAGCACATCCCAGTGCCCAGCCCAGCCTCCCCACCCCCTGGGGTGGGCACCATGCCTGCCTGTGTGGGCAGCTCTGCTCTCCCACTGCTGGAAGAGGCTGAACTGGGAGCACTGGGAGCCCAAGGGACAAGGACACCCTGTACACAGGTGTGTCCAGTGCTGGCAAGGTGCCCGAGTGGCCGTGGCCTTTGGCAACCTCCTGGCAAAGACCAGCAGCAAGGAGGGCGGTAGGGGCTTGGGCATTTGAGGATGCCCACAAAGGTTATGGCCCTGTGCAGAACCCCAGGGGGACAGGGAGTCCCCCAGCAGCTGCCCCCAGTCAGACATCTCCCGAGATAATGCACTTACAGCTCTATGAGATCATCTCCTCAAAGTCCCGAACCACAGGGTCAGGTGGGAAATCAACTCCTGCTCATGGAAAGAGGGAAAAACCACCTCCTGTGGCTGCAGGAAGAAGTGACAAACAGGGATAACCATTAACAGCTGCAAACTGGGCATCCAGGGGCAGAATTCCTTCCCATTTTGTGCCACCTTGCCAGGCCCAGCTTCTACCATACCCCAGTGCCAGTGGCACAGGGTGGCCAGGGCAGGGCCAAGCCCCCCAGCAGCCCTCCCCAGGGTGAGCATCTCAGTGCCAAGAGCTGGGGCGATGCCTGAGACCTGCAGGGATGCAGAGCCAGCGGGATTTATAGGGGACAATGGGCATTGCAGACCCCCAGGTCCTGGCAGTCCCCAGCTCACACGGAGAGGCTGCGACCACTCCTTGCCAGACAGGAGAGGACAGGGATGAGGTGTGTACATGTGTGGCTCGGGGACACTGCTGGCCACACAGAGCCCTGGGCCAGCCCTGCCTGACCCCTGCCTGACCCCAACAGAGCCAGGATGCCCGGAAACCTGTGTCATGCCGGGGCTCTGGGTGCAGGAGGCCAGGGAAGGGCTGGAAATGCAGCCGCACTCCAGGAAGCAAAGCCCCGAAGGCACCCGGGGCTGTGACATAACATCTGCAAACCTCAGCTGCTTCCTCAAAGCCCTGCTAACCTCAAAGGAGGAAGGGCCGCTCCTGCCATGCCACCTCCCTCCCCACGGATGCTCCTGGGCTGCTCTCCCTTCCAGGGCAGTGGGGCTGGCACTGGGATGCTCTGGGAAGGCTGTCAGGGCCCACCGTGGCACACCAGGGACCCAAGCTCTGCCCAGCTGCCCACTGCTGCAGCCCCAAAACCAGGGGGTTTTCAAGCTGAAATCTCTCACAGCAGCACAGGCACCCTCCAGCTGGACCCGCCAGTGCCACTGCCCACCCTCCATCCCACAGTCTTTGGGAATCACATGGACCATGGGGACGGGAGCTGCGGGCACAGCCAGCCAAGGTCCCCACACCTCCTGAGGGGGCTGGGTCCCCAGCATGAGTGTGGGGAGGGTGCCCCTTACCTGCAGAGCCACACGGATTCCAGGATCCCTGGTCAGGCTACTGGAGCAGGCAGGGTCCCTGCTGTGACAGGGATGAGCTGGCACAGCAATGGCACAGCAATGGCACAGCAATGGCACAGCAATGGCACAGCTCTCTGTCTGAGGAGCTGCAGGTCCAGGGCTCTCTGCAGCCTCCCACTGGCACAGCACACACACCTGGCAGCAGCAGCTCTCCTGACCCTGTGGAAAGCTGGATTACCAAAGGAGAGGGTAATTAGCTGCTCAGCAAACCCTGCACACCCATCACTTCCAACGGGAGTGCGGAGGAGGGCAGGCAGCCTGCAGCCTCCCCGACCCCAGCCCAGCCCATGGACCACCTTCAGCCAGCTGGGGCGAGCAGCTCCTGCACACCTAAACCTCCATCCCATCCTGCCAGGCTAAACCAAGCCTCTCCATCCCAGAGGGATTGATTATTCCTGGATGTGTAGCCCATCTTTACATCAGACACATGCATGGCTCCAGCAGCACCCCCAGCACCTGCCTGCAGGCAGAGCACTGCCTAAAACAGGGCTGAGGGCTGTGAGAGCCCTTCTCCCACACACCCCTGCCAGCCCCAGCTCATGCAACACATACACCCAAGCAGGCCAGCTGCTCTGCAAGGAGATGGGGGCTGCAAGAGGAGGGCACGGCCACCCCTGAGCATGCCCTGTTGTCTCCCCCTTGCAGCCTCAGGACAACCTTCCACGGGCACCCCCTTCCTTCACCTTTAACTCCCCCCCAGCACTGCCAGGAGCAGCTGACCTGGGGCTGCCCGGGGACACACAGACCGAGTGACCCGAGAGCCAGGTAACCTCGCGCATAAACTCTCCTCCTTTCCTCCTCCACCTACCAAAACCTCGGCGTAAAAACAACCCCGCGCAACGCGGAAGAGCCGGACAAAGAGCGGGGTGGCCGTGGATGCCCTTATCATCAGGAGGAGCAGGAAAAATCAGTCAGTTCACTTCTGATAAGCTATTTGGTGACAGCAGCCCTGCAGGTGAGTCACCCCCCGGTGGCAGATGCTCAGGAGATTACAGCAGGTGATGGTGCTGCTGATAGACCGGTGTTGTATTACAATACAAACCAGAATTCCTGTTTCACAACTCCCCTTGTGGGTTTTAAGGAGTGCTGGGGCGGTCCTGCCCCAGTGTGAGCGCAGGGCGGGCACAGAGAGCAGGCACAGGGGTGCGGGAGCATCGCCGGCCCCGGATTCTGGGTATCGGGGCACCCGCAGCCTGCCCGTGCCCCGCACTGGAGGATATTCTGTGATTCTCTGCTGGTGGCCGGATTTCTGCAGGCAGAAGGACCACACTGGAGCTGGATGAACATGGTGAGTCACTGACAGCTCTGCCCCCAGCCCCTGGCTCCCCGCACAGCCCTTGTCCCCCCACACTCCCAGCCTGGCACTGCCAGGAGCTGGTGAAGGGGCAGCCCAAACTCAAAGAGCTGCAGCTCCCCAGCCCTGGCAGCATCCAGGCAGGGCAGGGTTTTACCTGCATCTCTCAACACCCCACTGAGGCTGGTAGATATGGTGCCTGGGTACCTTCCTGAGCTCTCACTCCCATGTTTCTCTGGCTTGCCCCGGCCCTCTCCCAGCCCGGGAAGCAGACAAGCAAGGCAGTGTGTCTTGCAGTCTGCATGACAAGGGCAACATGCCCTTCTGGAGTCTCATCCCTCCCGAGAAGGTTCTGGTTCTTGGGCACCACCTGGGTAAGAGCCAGGGCCCCCTGTCCTGCAGTGCAGCTCCCACTGTGGGACTGCAGGTCCCTCTGTTCGGGGACACTCTCGCTGCCTGCAGTGCCCTTTGCCAGCAAAGCCATGGCCACCAAAACCCAGCCTGGCATGCAGTCCCTCCCTAGGAGGGAGAGGCTTCCCTAAGAGGGCAGACAGGTACAACCCACCTCGCTGGGCACCGCAAACCCCTCCACCAGCGACACACCAGGACATCATCCCCTCCAGGGTGGGGAGCTCACCCCTGCACGGCAGCAACAGCTCCACACACCCACGGGTTAAATCCCCGCAGCCAAGGAGTCACCCTCGGAATCCAATCACCCTGGGAAGCTTGGTTTTGTGAAGGAACAGCCCACCTGCTCCTGAGGGAGGGAAGAAGCACAGCTCAGCACAGCCTGCAACCTGGTGTGGGTGAGGAGGTTCATCAGAACTCCACGGCTCCTGGGCTGGCATTTGCACAGCACAAAATGGCCATAGTGGCATTAAGTGCTTTGAGAGAACATGGCAAGGGAGCTCAATTAGTTAGGGTAGCCTTGGGTTCTCCAGGAAATCACGTGCCTCCACTCCATGCAGGAGTGGGCACAGCTCTTGCCTTGCTTTGGATTTAACCAGTGCAGCTCTTGCCTGTAGTGTGGGTTTGAGAGGAGTCGTGGAGAGGCAGCTCTGGGCAGCTCCGAGGTGTGAAACCCTTTGAAACAGAGGAGGTCTGTGGACTGAAGAAAATGCAAAAAAAAAAAAAATAAAAAATCAATAATCTCTTATCCCACCTGCATCTGTCCCAGACCTGCACAGGTGCCTCGGAAAGGAGCCTGGATGACGTGATGGGGACAAGTATGGGCAGCTTGGGGACTGGCAGGGGCAGCATTGCCACTGCAGTGTCCCCCAGGCTGGAGGATCCCTCGTGGCCCGGGGCTGTTCCCAGTGGGAACCGTTAGGATGCCATCATCCAGGTCATGTTAGGATGCCATTATCCAGGTCATGCCCAGCCCAGGCCCACAGTGACACAGGAGGTCAGCATGAGGAAGGACTGGCCCCACATGCCCTGGGCTGGCTGCACTGCAGGGTGTATGTGCAGCATCACAGAACCCCCAGGGCTCCTGTGGGCACCAGGGGCTGCAGAGAAGCGGCTCTGGAAGGTGCAGGATGCACATTCCCCTTCCCACCCTGCTCTCCTGCTCCCTGCCACCAGGAGCCAGGCTCTGCACCCCCGGGAGCTGATCAGAGCCCATTCAGGGGTGGGGAATCGGGTACAACCTTCCCATACCTGGCACGGGTGCCAGCTGAGCTCAGCTGTTTGGAGAAAAGCCGCTGGCATTTCCTCAAAGGAGCCAGGCATTGGCATGCTGGGGCACGGCCACATGCCCACAGCACCAGGAAGGATCCTCGCCTGCAAAGGCACTTCTTGTTCCCAAAACCGGCAACCCAAGCCACGGAGCAGGGACATGATGGGGAGGCAACATGTCCTGGCTGAGAGAGGGGCAGCGAGCCAAGGAGCAGCACATTAACCCGAGCTGGCTCTGTGGGTGAGCCCAGCAATAATGGATTGGCACTCACCTGCACAGTCCTGCTGGCAGGTGGGGTGTGCATGGCTGAACATGCCCCGCTACAGTGACCCAGGCAGGGAGGGCTCACCTCTCCTCTAAGCTGTCCTGGGCTGGAGGACAGACCCTCACCCACACACCCAGTCCCACTGTAATGCTCTTCTAAGTCCCAGCCTCCAAGCCCTGAGATGGCACAGGGACCAAAGGCTTCCAAATCCCAAACCCTCCTGGATCTGCAGATTTATCACAGCAGGTTTAATCTTCCTTACCTCTGTCCACGCAAAAAACTTCTCTTACCTGTCGTGGCAGAGTCCAGAAGCAACAGCAAAGGCCAAGAGCTCACTGGGGCTGGCTGGGCATGGAAGGGACCAGTCTCAGCAGAGCAGGAACACCATTCCACACACTGCTGCTCAACAGCATGGCACCAACACTGCTGCAAAACAGGGCAACAGGCACACACGGTGCCCACCTGAACCCCCCCAAAGGGGCTCTGGGCTTTGCCCAGCACCAGCCCTCACTGAGGACAGGGTCACTGCAGCTCACAGGACCTGCCCTCCTGCAGCCGGGCAGTTCTCCCATGAGAAGTTGGTACAGGGGGGTAATTGTGAGGAGATCAAGTGGATCAATGCCTGATTCATCACGGCTCCAGCCCTGGCTGCTGCCGGGCTGTGTTTACTGCGTGTCCTAGCAGCAGCACAGCCTGCACTCCCTCCCTCCCCACCCTGGGAGCACTGGCTCCTAGGGGCTGGTTCCTCAGGTGCTCCAGGAGCCTCTCGGGGAGAGCTCAGGCTGTGCCTCCTGCTGCCTGACCCTACTGACGATATAACCCCCGTCGTGACATGCCCGCGTGCCACAGCCCCGCAGGCGTGGGTATTTTGACTCAGGGTTTCTTGGCACATCAGAAAGCGCCTCTTTTGTAACATCTATGACTTTTTAAGCCTCTGACATGTTAATGACAGTAATATTAACAGACACTTACTGGAATTGCACAGGTGGTGTCCAAGGGAACAACACAGCAGGTGACCCCAGGTGTCACACCAGGACACATCCCCAGCAGCTCTGAAGCTGGATGGAGGCTGGGGCAGTTTCCCTGCTCATCCCTGCTGCCCTTCCTGGGGTGGCTGGTGAGCTGTGAGCTCCCCACGGTGCTCCAGACCCTGCAGCTGCTCTCTGGCTGCAGGTTCCCCTCGCTGACTGGTTTTCCCTCTGCTTTGCAGGACTCGGCCTCGGAGCGGCTGAATGGCAGAGGTAACTCCCGTGGGGCTGGGGGTGAGGGCTGCCAGGCTGAGCCTGCCCACACAGGGCCACGCTCCTCTGTGTTGCAGGTCCCAGCACGAGACACAAATCCCCGAGGACGCTGGAGTCCTTCAAGCGGGTCGGCATCCTCGTCCTGGCCGTGGTGCTCACCCTCGCCTGCCTGGTGGCCATCGGGTTCCTGGGTACAGCTCCCAGCGTCCTCTCCCTCTCCTTTCACGTGGCCACGGCTCAGCAAACGTGGCTCTGGACCTGGCTCCTTGCTGGGCCCCCCCATGCCAGCCCTGAGCCTGCCCAGCAGCCAGAGCTCTGTGCTGAGCCCCCCTTTCCCTCCAGTCAAGGTTTACCTGGATCACCACTACCTGTTCTGCAAACAGCCCCTGAAGCTGGTGCCGCTGCAGCGGGTGTGTGACGGGCAGGTGGACTGTCTGCAGGGCGAGGACGAGGCCAACTGTCCCCAGTGGGTCCCTGAGGGGCCACCAGTGGGGGGTGAGTGCAGGACACCCTGTGAGAACTCTGGAGTGCTCTCCTGCTAAAGCCACCCAGAAGCTGACTCTGTGTCTGCCTCCAGCCCGCGTTTCCAAAGACAGATCCATCCTGCAGGTGCTCGACAGGAACACTGGAGCCTGGTCCTGTGTCTGCCACGACCACTTCGACCTGGTGCTGGCCAAGGCAGCCTGTGAGCAGATGGGCTACAGCAGGTACAGGCTGCTTTCCCCACGCCTCACCCCACTGCTTTATCTGTGCCTCTCCCATAAAAGCTCTTTTGGAGTGGGGCTCTGACTACCTACAGAGCACTCAGAGCTCTGCACTAATGGTTTCAGTCCATCCTCACCACACAGGAGCTGGCTCAGAGCCCTGGTAGCCTCCCCTGGAAGCAGAGTGCTGTGCTCAGTGTGCCCTGCCAACATCACTCACCTGGGGAGGGGTGGGCACAGGGCCCCTTTATGGCCTGGGACAGCAGCTCTTGGCTGGGGCTGTGGGTGCAGCACAGGTTGGATCCTCACAGCTGCCATGAAGCTCCATATCATCCACCTGTGTCCCCCTTGTGCCCCACCCTGAGCTAACAGCAATCACTTACAGCTGGTTAAACTTGAAATTTGGGGGAAACTGCTTGGCATCACCCCTGGATTAGGGGAGAATTTGAGTCAAGTTAGGTGTACACAAGGAAGAAGATGTGTTCTGGTGTCTGAGCTCCTCTAGGAGTGCAGATTAAGCCCAAGATGTGTTTTCCAGGAAGTCAAGGATTGAGGCTTTGAGCACAGGTCCCAAATGTCCCCCAGGGCCACCTGCCCACCCCTCTGCATAGCAGGAGCACTCTCCCTTCCTTCACTTGCTCCTGTCCTTGGCCCTGGGCCCAGTGGACAGTTCCCCCCCCATCCTGCCACTGGCCCTTCAGGGATGTGGCACTTCCCCCTTTGGCATCCCCACGTCCCTATCCCAAGGAACCCCTTTTTTCCATGGGATCCAGGCTCCCGAGGTGCTCAGGCACCAGTGCCTGTCCCCTGCCAGTCCCTGTGTCCCACGCCCAGCTGAGTTTGCTGACCCGTGCCCCCCGTGTCTTGCAGCACTCCCGCTTTCCAGGGGGTGGAGGTGAGCGCAGGGCAGCCCCTCCCTCCCCGCGAGGTCGTGCTGGACAACGGGAGCCTCCGGGTGCTGGAGCCGGGCAGGTGAGCGGGCACCGTGTGGGAAGTGGCCGCTGAGCCCCGAGGGGGAGCCCGCGGTGCCCGGCAGCAGAACCTGAGCCTGTCCTCCAGCCAATCCAGCCCTTTTCCTCCCTTTTCCAGGAAATGCCTGTCTGGATTGATTGTTTCACTCTTTTGTTCCAGTAAGTACCACGACTTGCTTCCAGCCCTTTCCCTTCCCACTCCCCGCGGTGTTTGCACGAGGAAAGTTGGATTTAATTACTGCTAACCTCGTTAAGCCAGTACAAACCCTCCAGAAATGAAACACCTGAGGGAGACTTACCTAGCTTGCTTGGCTGGGTTACTTTTGCTGATGAATTACCTTGATTAAACCAATCCTCCTGGTGGGCTGGAGCAGGCAGGGATGGCTGGACTCCTTCCAGCAAGCCTGGGGACGAGGGGCAATGGTAGCGTTGTGGGGGTGAGGCACCCCAGCCACACTCTCCTCCCTGGGAGGTGCCAGACCCTCGTCCTGTCCCTCCTAACGTGTCCCTCTGCCCCCACGCCCGCAGACTGCGGGCAGAGCATCAGGACGCCGCGTGTGCTGGGCGGGAGCCCGGCTGCCATCGAGGCGTGGCCGTGGCAGGTCAGTCTGCAGTACAGGAGGGAGCACATCTGCGGGGGCAGCATCATCGACCCCCGCTGGGTCCTGACGGCCGCGCACTGCTTCAAGTGAGTCGGCACCTCCCCGGGGCTGGGGCGGCTCCTCCGGGCT